TTTATTTAACTTGATTAAGAATTATTTCATTTGGCTTTAAATACAATAATTAAAGTTAAATAAAATAATTTAAAATAAAATAATTCTGAAAAAAGAAAAAACAAATCCAGTCTTTCTCCACTCTGCTCCAGTACACTTCCCTTACAACATCCCTGCACAAGGTAGATAAGCTCTGTGCACAGTTAGTGATGGAGAACTCACTGCCTTATGAAGAGACTCGATCTGTGTTTATGTTCATGTAATTACTGTCAACAGACTAATTATAGTGCTCATTAAACAGAGAAGAAATCTATCACTCTGCAACTTTTCCTCACTGATTCTAGCTATGTCTTTCTGTAGCTCTAAAATCTGCACTCTCTCTGATATGAGGAAACATCAAAAAGTTCACAGAAAAATGAAGTTAAAGTATTAATTTTGTTGTAAAAAAGGTTTGAAATCTATAGATTTTTTCAGAATATTCATTTTCCACAATTTTTTGAAGACCCTTCATACATGAAAGCAATTCAATTTACAGAAATTTGGAATACAAAAGCTGCAAAGTGTTTAGTAAGACCCCTACCAATTCATGTGCTAGGAAGTCTCAGACATGCACTTCGCTCCTCTAAATCTACCTCCACTCCACCATGTTAGCAGCTGAAGTCACTGGAGTGAGGGGATGGGTTAAGTAAGTGCAGCCAGAATGAACAACACAGACAACAGGAGGAGAGAAAGTCTGCAGGTCTGGTAGAACATGGTGAGGCTCAGGGTTTTATTCTGTGTGACAGGTAGCCACTGAAGGATTCTGAACAGGGGAGTGATACATAGGACCTGTTATCACTGCACGCAAAACTGTATCTAGATAAAGAATGGACTGGAGCGGTACAAGGAGTACGTAAGAGAGTGAAAATGCTATTACTGTCATCTAGGTAACTTATCGTGGTGACTTATGTTAGGGCAGTAGTGCTGAGGTGTGGGGGGTGGCAAGGGGTGATTTGGGATATTTTGCAAGGAAGGCATATAAATCTCAATGATGAACTGGATAGGAGAAAGAGAAAAGTCAGACAGTTTCTAGTTTTTGCCCTGAGCAACTGCATAGACCATTTACTGAGATGAAGTGGGCAGGAACAGGATTGGGATAAGAGTTTAAAGTACTAGTATAAACACATCAAGTTTGAAATATTTAAGAGATTTTCAAATAGAGACGTTGAAATGACAGAGAGATAATCCTAGAGCTCATGGGAGATATCAAGGTAAAGAACACATGTGGGAGGCCAGATGGCATTTACAGCAAGGGATCACATAAGACATGTAGGGAATCAATACAGGCAGCCAAGGACCAAATTCTGAAAAATGCCCCTTTTAGAGACCATGAATAAGAGGCAGCAAAGCATATTTTGTATTTTTATGACTCTTTCTCAAAAATAGATGGAATTACTTTATGTTCACAAACTACAAAGTGAATAACCAAATATCATAACTCTTCAAAAACTACCATTCAGAGTCACATGTCTGCTCTGTTTCTGACTTCTGACTAAGTGACCAAGTCTAGATGGTCTGACATTTCACCTGTCAGCTGCTCAGCTATCCCATCCCTGGTACCTGGCATGTGTCCTAGTTTCTGGGTCCAAGTTCGCACGCCAACTCAAGACTTCTAGTTGCTCAACACTGACCAGGAGGCACACTGAGAGCCTGTTCTCCAGGACTGTCAAAAGTTCTTGGCACATGATCAAGGAAGCACACAATGAATGAGTGTTCAGGAATTAATCAGGCAACAGAGATCACTGATATGTCAGAGGACTGCAGAATAAGCCAGATCAAGGCCAGGACAGGGAAAAGACAGCCTTACCCCAGGCTAGTCAACCCAGGGGAATTTGCTCTAGGTCACCTAATGTGAGCACATACTATTACCCAGAAAAGCTGAAATAATCTGAAGTTTACCATGTGTCCATAAAAATATGTCAGCATTTTCTGGAAGCTGCAAACACTAAGAACCAAACTGTAGGTATCGTACTCAATAGGCCCATGTTCTCTCTGCCCCACAGTCTCAGGGACATCTTGGAGACATCTGCTATTCTTCCAGCTCATCTGTAATGGCAATTCCAACCTATCTCATAGGTATGTGTGAAGATCTAATGAGATGATATAAGAAAAGTGCTTGGGACACAGTCGATGCTCAACAAATTAGCTATTCTCATTTATACTTTGATGGCCACACAGTGACAACCACCTGAATGGTAGACATGTCCCTAAACACAGCACTTTTAGTGGTCTTCAAGCAGAGAATAATAAAAGTTTTATTTTGATTGTTTTGTGTGAACTCCTACAATAATCAATGTAATTCAAATTCGGTCCAAAATAACTACTTTTTCTCTAAACTTCCCTACCTAAGGAAGCACAATCATGTTATACAACTAATAAACAGAGACGTAAATTCTGTAAACATGGAATTGATAATAAAATTCTGAATAAGGACTGTAGAGTAAAACAAAAAATCTTCAACTCTGACAATTATACTGCAGGAATCATTCAGGCATGTGGCTGTTATTTAAATGTCTATATCCTTTAAGTATATTTTTATTTCCCTTTATGAAATTTAATTAAAATCATTTAAGTTCACAACAGCAGAAAATTATTTAAAGACCAACATGGCTATTTTACATTTATTAACAGAAAATTACCTAATAGTTTTAGCAAATGACAGAGTTTCTTTCTTATAGTCCTTTAATATTTATAGAAATTTAAAAGAGATATCATGCTAGAGTCCATTTTGGAAATTGAGAACTTCTATTACTTGACAGCGATCAATTCTGTATTATTTTGGCTTAGTTAGCGAAATGGCTATATAAGAGTTATGTTCATCTTTGTTCATATTCAACAATAGGTACTAGCTAGTACTTGGCCTAGAAGCTCAAGTAGGTGAGAAAACAAATGTATAATAACAAGGTCCAACTCCAAATCACTAAGTCACATTACTGACCTTTCTGTGTCTAAAAGAAGTAATGTACACGAAACCATTTAAAGAGCTGTTTGCACTAACAGAAAGTGCTATATGATCTACCATGGTGGCACACACTACAAAGATACTGTTACATAGGCTAGGACCAGACAGAAGGTTCAGGTTAGATTCTTGGTCCAACCTAAAGGCCAAGTATGATGGCATATGCCTATATTCCAACCAATTTGGGGAGGCTGAGGCAAGAGGATTTTGAGTTCAAGGCTGACCTAGACAACATAGTGAAAGCCTATTTAAAAAAACATCTGCTTATGGTGTTGCATGCCTATACTCTCAGCTGGGAGGCTGAGGCAGGGGAATTTCAACATGGTGAGATTCTGTCTTACAGAAAAAGGGTGAGGGAGTAGTTCTGTGTGCAGCAGTAATGTGTTGCTCAAGGGAAGCCCATTCCCACATGGTAACTGTCGTTCAAAACCCTGGTCTGGTCAGCCTGAAATACAATGGGCACACATGCAAGCACCCAAGATCTGATGGGCTGGATGGAAGGCTGAAGGAGGGGGTGGTGGCATGATCAGACCTTGTGAAGGGTGCTCATCTCTGGCTCATGCACATATGTGCACTCCATCATAAATGAAGGGGGGAAAAAAGAAAGAGCAAACAAGCAAGCTATACAAAACCACCAAGGAATCCAAGCACCTTAAAGGAGCCAAAGAGAAAGCCTGTAACTAAGTATGAGGAGACATTCATGAATACCGTGCCAACATTCAGAAAATGAAATCCTATACTTCCTATAAACTGAAACCATAGCACATATTTCCCAGTACTCTGTTTATGAATCTGGATCTTTTTAAGGTAATTAATAAATTTCTTTTCAAACCACTGCATAGAAAAGCTACTTCTAAATTATCATTTCCAAATCAATACACTTTTATTTTTCTTGCTTTAAATAAACATTTTGGAATAATTTTAGATTTACCAAAGTTATATAGATAGCACAGAGTTCCTATGTACCCTTTGTCCAATTTCCCCTAAAGTTAACATCTTAAATATCAACAGTATATTTGTCAAAATTAAGAAATTAATGTTAATATATTACTATTAACTAAACTAGAAACTTTATTTAAATTTCACCTATTTTTCCATTAATATATTTTTTGAGTTTTTAGGTACTACCCTGGGTACCATAATGCAATTATTATTTTTTTTTTTGGAGAGAGAGATCTCTGCTATAGTGTGCATGCACACACCAGAGAGACAGAGAGACAGAAAGTGAGAAGTCACCCCCTCAGGCCACACGGCAATCCCTTCTCCATTCTCCTCTCAGAATTTTGGGCATGCATGTACATGTGTCTGGTCTGAGTTTTCCAATTCGCCAGGTCCAAGACAGTCAAGCGTGTGGGAGTTCAGTAATGTAACCATTATGCTATCTGCTAGTCCTGCAATTAATTTTTATTAATTGCCAGAAGACACATGAATGTATCAGAGAGAGATGCAGAGAGAAAGAGAGAGAAAAAGGGGGAAATTATCCACCACATCCCAATGGGGCATGGTAACACTGCAATGTCTTTTTCTTTATTTCTCCATCCTGTTGGGATTTTAGGCATTTAAGTTAAGCACCCACATATTTTAAACTGCCAGTGCTGGGATTTGAACCACGGTTAGCCCTGTGGTATTTGGCTCCCTTAATCACTAGGCTAAGAGACTGGCCCTATTATTATTTATTTTCAATGCTTTAAGTCTTGATATATGATACACAGCTATGTCTTATTAACAATGTCCTTATTATAATTATTACAGGAAATAAACTTTCCTGGAAAATATGATATACTGAATACTACAGAAATGTTGCATAAAGATTCATATAAACATGATATTTCTACTAATGTTTTATTGAAGAGAAAAGGACATAAATCACTGAAGTGAGATATGCCCCACTAAATACTTTGCTAGGAACTTACAAGAACAAATTATTTAAGTTTAGAAAGTATTCTTCAAAAACTACTTGTCACTTTACCTATTTCCCATGGCTCCAGCAGAGTCTTAAGATATACAGTAAATTCTTTTCATTAATTTTGTAACAGAATATAAAACAGTATAATCATATTCAGATAACCATTTTAATTGAGGATATATAAAACTTTTTTTATAATTATAACTTTCATTTTAATTACTATATGATATTAAGATAACAAGGAATATAAAAGTAAATAATTCCATAATCCATTACATGTTTTTTAAAAAAGAAAGTATCCAAAATTTAATAAAATTTTTAAATTACTAGAAAATGTTCTAGAAAAAAAAATTGCCACAATGAATAAAACTGACTAAGAAGAATGCTTCACATTCTTTTCCATGTGCTTAATGCTGTGGGAATTACTAAAGTCACAAACAAATGAATCATGTTGAAGGCTCAGCCTTTTTGATGGGAAATAGTAATCAAGTTTGGAATTAGGAGGTTTTTGAAAGAACATGTGTCTAATAAAGTGTCCATATGTGTCAGTTTGCCTGGGCAGTCCCAATTTATGTTCATTAGCTCAGTGTCCCACCCAATTTTCCATTTGTCATGGATTTTTCATTTTCTATTTTTTTTATGGTAGTGTTAAGCTGGGATTTACTTGTACTTTTTCCTTGAGGCTCTGCATGATCTCACTGAGCCCCCTCTGAGATGCCATGTGCAGTGCAGCTGGGAACTTAACATGTGGACGAAACTGTAGGACATCCAGCAGTAACCCACCTCTAGGTGCACTGTAATTGACACCTCACTCTCAGAGACAGCACCCAGGGAAGCACCTGCAGGAAAGGGAAGTACACTGAGAAAGGAGCAGCTTAGAACAGCTACTCCTCCGATCCTGGGTGGAGGTAGAAGAAACACTCCATGTGCGTTTCTACTTCTTAACTAGCAGGAGGACATCAATCTAACAAATGCAGAGGAGGTATTGATATTTTACATATTACTCTCTAAAGCATGACTTTTCACCTAGATCAAGTGACTTGTGTTTTTTTAATCTCACTTAGTTCTGATTCCAAATGTCTTATTAGCATAGGCAAAGAAAAGTGATAATTGTTACTTTATTGGCTCCATCAGCAAAAGAAAGTCACAGTTAAATGATGCCAGCTTTCTATCAGTGTCAGGCAAGGCATCAAATAAAAACCAGTTAATTCCAGTAACAGTTTGACTGTTTCATCCAAATCATGAAATCAAAGTAAAGCTCTTATAAATTCATTCTGTAGAACATGAAATGCCTTATATATCTGTAACTACAGCTTAAAGTCATTTTAAAAGTTCAACCACGGGAACAGCAGATGACATCGTGGTTATTTCGCTAGACTCCCACTAAGTCGACCACAGTTCGAGTCCCAGAACCAGTGACTTAAAACTCAAGCCAGGCATATGTGCATGCATGCCCAAGATCCTAAGAGGAAAATGGAGAAGAAGGGATTGTGGTGTGGCCATCCCCCCTGGGGAGTAATTTCTCACTTTATGTCTCTGTCTTTTAGGCAAGCGTATACACCCTATAGCAAAAATCTCACTAAAAAAAAGAAAAGAAAAAAAAAGTCAACCACAAAGATAAAATTGCAATAGGTTGTCATTATTTACAGTAGTTAAATTCTATAAAGTCACCATGAATACTAAATTAGTAAATACCACACCATTGCTCCTAGGATCTGAGATCCTCTGGTCACATTTTCATCTGTTGATCAAACATATCCTTGTTTTATGTATGCGTCTGTTTCAAGATACCTTATTTAACAAATATGTTTGATTCATACTCGACAGCACTGTAAGTCAAATCTGAATGATGTTTATCCAATACATGTATAAAGAGTCTTCAAAAAGTTCATGAAAAAGGCGTATTCTGAAAACACTGGGTGAAGTTTGAAAACTTTTTGCACCAAAATAAACTCGTCCTTTAATTCATTTTTCACCCACAAACTTCTTGCTGTGCCCTCTGGAGGGTACATCATAGCCTTCTCAAGTTTAACACTATATAGCTCTTCAGTTCTAAACTTGGTAAACATTTTAAATAGCAAAATCACCAAACCAGGTATGCAAACCAAGAAGCAGCCCCACCTCCCAGACAATCTGTTGGCACCTTGATCTTAGACTTTCTAGCGTCCAACTGTAGGAAATAAGCATGTGCTGTGTGAGCCACCCCGATCTGTGGTGTTTTCTTATAGCAGTCCAAGCTGACTATGACAGGAATCTTTAATTCAAGATTTAATTTTTCCAGAGAGCTTATTTTTCTGCTTAGATAAATTTATATTATATATCAGGATAAAATAAACTTGAGAATGCCTACAATTTAACATGATGTAAATCTGACATAATGTTCTAAAGACTTTTAATACAGATAAAACTTATTTGACAAGCTATGTCTTACAAAAATTTTATTGAAGAAAGATCCTCTAAGGAGTAAATAAGGCAGAACCTGTGAAAACATTTGGGCTAGAATATTTACAGAGTAAACTATTAAAAACTCAAAATTTAGAACAACCTCAATTTAGCTGAATTTGCTTTGAACTTACCAGGTATGTTCTCTAGCAGTAGAGAGATTATATTCTCAAATTTAAAAACTTCAAAATACAGAGAATAGTAACTGTTGAAAAAAACAGAACATTTTCAAATTTAATATACATATGCAACTCTGAAGAAGGCTACCATTTTAAAGAACAATTAAATTTAGACAGATTTTTGCTATAAGGTGCATGCATTCACCAGAGAGACAGAGAGACAGAAAGTGAGAAATCACCCCTCCAGGGAGGATGGCCAATCCTCCATTCTCCTCTGGGGATTTTGGGCACACACACATATGCGCCCAGTGTGAGTTTCAAGCTGCCAGTCAGGGGCTCGAAACAGGCTTGACCATGTGAGAGTGCAGCAACATAACCATTACGCCATCTGCTGGTCCCAATTAAAATATTTAAAAAAAAATTTTTTTTTTTTCAGAAAAATACAGAGACCCAGTATATTATGAACAAATTATGGATAAGCAACTAAATAATGCATATCAACTTTTATTCTTTTTTTTTTTTTCCATTTGCCAAAGGGCAGGTACACTTGCCAAAGAAAGCCAAGAAGGACAGGAAGGGAGAAGGAAAAAACACCTCCAATAAGGAACAGTTATGCTACAGTCCTCTCTTCCAACTCTCCCTCCTGTAGGGATTTTGGGCAGTCATGTGCACACAGGTTCCTCTCTCCCTCCTGTAGGGATTTTGGGCAGTCATATGCATGCATGTTCCCAGCATGCTTTTCAAGCCACTGGGTTCAGGATTCAAACTACACAGTAAGTCACATGAGATCCAGTTATGTTCTTTTTAATGTTCAGAAAATCATCAAACAGTTTTTGTTTTGCTTTCATGAACACTGATATATTCAAAGCAGTTTTTGTTTTGCTTTCATGAACACTGATACAGGCAAATGTATAAAAATGAATTTCTAAAAATAATTTAAAAGACCATTTTATAGGTTCACCAGTAAAAATAATTTGTCAGTCAACAAATGAAATTATGTAATTTTATCATTTTTTAATATTCTTTAGCCTCAAGAGAACCCCAATTTGGGCAATAAATTAAACAGTTAACCTAAGTGGGTGGTAGAATGGTTAATTTCACATGTTTTATACTTTGGCTAGGTTATGATGGCCAACTATTTGGTCTAACACTCATCTAAATGTTGCATGTTAGATCTCTTTGGACGTAATCAACATTTACAATCAGTTTGCCTCAAATAAAGCAGACTTCCCTACATAATGAGGGTGTGGGTTTTATCTAATCAGGTGAAGGTCGTACAATAAAGAATGAATGATAGGAAGGTGGCTATCTGTGCAGTCACTCTAGGTTAGTAGCTGTTAGTTCAATTGATGTGACTTCTCGCTTTGAGGCAAATGCTTCTCAGATCATAAAGATTATAAGCATAACCACGGTTAATGAAGTTAAGGCAATTCTACTTCAGACTATAACAAAGAAATCCTGCCTCAGCAGGAGGACTAAGGGGTCCCACAGACTCTCTCTCCCTCAAACAGCAATTTAACTGGGAAAAATATTAAAAAAAAAAAAAAATTGAGGAGACCAGCAGTTAGCGTAATGGCTATGTCGATGGACTTCCTTGTAGTCGACCGCGGTTCACATCCCGGACCCGGTGGCTTAAAGCTCACGCCGGGCGCGTGTGCATGCGTGCCCAAGATCCCGAGAGGAGAATGGAGGAGAAGGGACTGTGGCGTGATCATCCCCCCCTGGGGGGGTGATTTCTGCTTTCTGTCTCTCTGTCTCTCTCTGTCTGTCTGGCGAGCGCACGTGCCCTATAGCGAAAATCTCTCCAAAAAAAAAAAATTGAAAATATTCCAAATTACTTCTCTGGAAGTTGTTTTAAGGACATGTAATAAATGGAGAAACATTCATTCAAGAAAAGCTACTGAATCTTAGTACTGAGCCAGTGGGTGGCATTGAAACTCCTCCACTCCCCATACTTCAAGCCCTGACTTAGGACACCACTCCAAGAGCTCTAGCCCAGGCAAGGCCAGTCACAAACACAAGTGCTCCTTTTCTCCTCAGCTCTCAGTCTGGGACCATGGTTCCCCCTCGAAGGGCAGGCCACCAGCACTTCTCTTTTTCTCAGCTCTCTATGACAGAATTTGGGAAGCCCAGGAATCCTTTACTTTAGCCAACCACCATTTGTGGGGTAGAAGCTGTGCTACAGGTATAGCAGGCCAAGAATCCTGGGCTGCTATCTCTCTTGGCCCAATTCATTGGCAGGGCAGAGGCTACATATCCAGAGAGGCGAGCCTAGAAAACCAAGGGTTAATGCTCTTGCCCTTTTACAACACTTGTTGTAACTCACAGATATGACTCTAGGAGAGGTAAGACACTATCCAGTTCCTATGGAGTGGTGCTAGGCTCTACCAAGAGGGAGAGGCAGACTAGAGAAACAGGCCTTCAAGACAAAGAGCTCCTCTGCTCTTTGTGAGGGAATTACTTTACTTTACAGAGAGAGCATGAAGAACTAAATGCCTAAGTGTGATGTTAACGACAATAAAGATCTTCAAGGAGAGCAATTAAAATGGGTGCTCACGGTTCCACGATACAAGCAACTACTAACAAAACGGTAGAGCAAGCAGAAAAGTAGCAGAGAAAAGTGTGAAGAGACAGCTCATAGTAAACCCTGGGGATCAGAAGGCCATGTCTAAGTGTTAGATGGCATATGCTCAAGAGCAATCAGCAGAATATGGAGCACACTTAAACATACAAGGAGACTTCAAAAGTCTGCATAAAATGGTATTAAAGTATAATTTTTTTGATGCAAAATATTTTGAAATTCATGCATACATTTTTTATAATAGACATTTTCCATAAACTTTTAGAAGACCCCTCGTATTCACAAGCCATACACAACACAGACCATTTAAAAGGCGAGAACCACACTGTCATTAGGGGCTATTGTACAACTTCTGATCAAACAGCAGCTGAACAATAAACTATCCTGCCCCAAAGACAACTCCTAAGAAGCTGAGATGTAAAATGAAACCACGCACATCCCTGGCAGTCTAAGACACTGTGGGGCGATCCAAAGCTGACTTCCCTCAGTAGTGACTGGAAATTGGTAATCTACTCTACTAGTCTCTAGATGAAATCGAGTCAAAACAGAAACTTCTTAAACTGTGACAGTATTCTCCAAGTCATACACACATCCAAAAGCAAAGAATAAAAATGTCATTGACTAGGACAGCATAAGCATAGCCTTTGACCAATACATGGTTTATGCTAAATGAGGGAGGACCCTTAGTGTATTGATCAGGTTTCTCCAGAGAAACAGAAACTAACAGAATAAATATACACATAAAAGGAGTTCATGGGACCAGCAGATAGTGTAATGATTACATCACTGGACTCCCACATGGTCGACCATGGTTCCAGCCCCAGACCTAGAGCCTTGAAACTCCTGCCAGGCACTCATGCCAGGTGTGCATGGGTGCCAAAATCACAGCGGGGGGTGGG